ATAAGGGATAAGATAAGGGGTAAGGATAAGATAGGGATAAGGTAAGCTGGCGGCGAGTTGGCTTGACGTGTCCAGATAAGGGTGGGCCCACCCCTATGAGCTGTCGTGTGGGCGCCGCTCTGTTGCTGTTGCTGCCGGGTACATGCATGCGGCTCATGGTGCTGCCGCCGTGCGGTGCCGTTGTCGCGCAGTGCGTGCACGCGGCTCATGGCGCTGCTGCCGTGCGGTGCCGGGCATGTGCGTAGTGCGTGCTGCCGTGCGGTGCGTGCTGCGCGTTGTCGGGCGCTGTGCGGCGCTGCATGCTGCGTGCTGCCAGGCGGTGCGCTGTCGGGCGGTGCGTGCTGCTGGCCGGCCCGCTGTGTGTGCTGTTGCCTATGGCTGCGCCGCAGTGCGCAGTCGGGTGGTGTGTCCATAACATACAACTTAATTGTATATTCTAAAACTCACACCATTTGTGTAATTCTTTAAATTCACTACTTCGGCTCCTCGTTTGTTTACAAATTTCTCACTTAACTGGGTAAGCAAATGTTTCCTAGTTAGGTAACATTTACCCGGATAAGTTTATTTACCCATATTCTTTGATTCCCACTTAAGTAATATAATTCTTTTTCACCCAGAAATAGTTAAGGTAAAAAAAAGGATAAATTTGTTTAATTATGTTTTATAAATTTTTTTCCTATTAAGTGGAAAAATGACTTGCCCATTTCAAAGATAAATAAGTTTTATTAACATAAATGAATCTCCCTTTACCATAAAGCCCATTCCTTAATGCAGAAAGAACCTTATAAAATTACTTAATAGAAAAAATATATCCATTCACCAAATTTTCTCCTATTACTCTAGGTAAACGACTAAACGGGCCTAAAGGGATCCATGCATAACCCCATTCGCACTTGCATTGAGATTTGGACACGTTTCAATGGTAGACTTATAGGTGCACCCCATAGGCCCGTACACCTGTGGTATAAAGAACTCCCTGTACACCGGACCAGCCTGTTGGAGGTTTACTGCATATTGTTTGAGATGACAAGAACAAAGCCTAGCTTTTTCTGCAAAACCTAAAGAAATTCAGGTCATGATCACATGGAAAATTTTCAAGCCTTTTATTCTTTTTTTTTTTCCAACTTTCAAGTTAAATTTACAGGTGAGGAAGTAGTGACGAACATGAAGGCGTAGAAAATTTGCCTTCGCTTTGATTATCCGTCTATCTATATTCCTCCCCTCCGGTCCTACACTTGGGTAAATTAATAATAATGTATTTGACTGGAAACTTCATGGGCAGTCTCTCGTCATTCAACTCTGTTCACGAATTTTCTTTCTTAATATATGAATGCGAGATCTTCACGGTGGATCCAATATGACAACACTCCGTTATAGAAGCCTATGTGCTGATTCTCTTTTAGGTGTTTCGAATTAAGATCGTCGTTAGATGATTTTGTCAATTACTGAAGTCAAGGTGGAAGGATAAAGTCGTGTATTAAGAATTGAAGCAAGAAAGTGGACAGAAGCCAAAGAAGTTATTCCCCAGGTAGGTATTCCGTTCTTCAAGTTAGTCAAGAACGATGAGTGGTCGGGCCGAGCAATTGAGAGAAAAGTGTTGGTCCGAGTAGAAGCAGAATAACAGTATGAATGCTAAAATGTTAAAAGTCCCTTACCTTGAGTGGGGGGTTACTTACTTATAGCCAAGAATCTGTATCCTATTAGGATGAGGCTTTCAAAGTTGTTGGGATGAGATTGTTTGCCAGGTCTTTAGGATAAGACCTAATCTCCGAGAGAATTGTCCTCCTTATCCGTATGGAGTTCTATTTTCTTAGTCACACATCCATCTTATATGATGCCTACATGGCCAAATAGATAAAACGGCTGCGAAAGTAACACGTGATACCCAGGACCAAGTCAACCATAACCTAGACAATGTTCTTCTACAATTTTAATTAATTTCAAAGTGTGGGTACAACTCCAAACTTGCAACGAATCAGCACCCAAGACGCTCTTAAATTATTTAATGGTTTGATGAAAGTCGTCGGCAGCAGGCGAGAAACAAATCTAGCATTGTCGTCTGTCGACCCAAGTTTAGACCCTTTTCTTTTCTTTGCAGTTGTATGTCACACCAAATCCACAGTCTCTTTTAATTAGATCACAAATTAAGCTCAAACCTTGAATCCAACCAACACGCCACCAGTCAGTCTACCGTTCAATTCGTTCCTTTGCAAATTTCGATTTTCTAACCAATTACAAATCTCGTAAGTTGAAACATAGAAATGCCATGTGAACATACATCAAATTAAATGATGATAACCACAATTAAACACAGAGATGCATGAGTAGTACAATTAATACGGAACCACCAGAACAGACAGTGACGACACATAGACGATCGATAGATCCCTAGTCAGCCCCTCTCTCAGTCTCAGCAAGTCTCGACCTGCAGGCTCATAAGCTTATTAAGCTGTTGCAATTGGCCCCCCAAAGTTAGCGGGGCTATTCTCAATAGCCTTGAAAGCCTGGAACCTAGGCTCCTTGGCCTGGAATTTCACCGTTACATAGAGCTTCATGTAGTCGTTGAACACGAACTTGGGGTACACTTGATTTGTCTTTTCTGCTTCTTTCTCCACCAATGCTGGGGCCGGGTAGATAACTGCGTCGCTACCAGGGTTGTAGAATGATGCGATTGACATTCTGTTGCCATCTGTCTGGGCCACCACTCGGTGCTCTACGCTCTTGTATTTTCCATTGGTGATTACCTATTTATATATAACAACCACGTTAGCGGTTATTCCAGTAGACGAGGGCAAATATCAGCGGAACCAAATCGAACTACTTTTTGACAACTACTTCAATCCAAATTTCTGCTTAACAGTAAGAGATTAGAGCGAGCCGTGGCGTTAGTGTTGTTACCTCGAGTTGGTCACCGAGATTGACCACGATGGAGTGGCGCATCGGAGGGACGTCCACCCATTCTCCGTCCTTGAGGAGCTGGAGACCACTAACCTGGTCGTCCTGGAAGAGTAGGATGATGCCACCGGCATCCGTGTGGGCTCGAAGACCCTTGATCAGCTCTGGTCTAGGGCAGGGAGGATAATTGGCGACCTTGGTGCCAAAGTTGGGTCCCTTCGACCCATAGAAGGCCTTCTTGAGGTATCCTTTCTCCAGCCCAAGATTCTCGCAGAGCAAGTCTAGGAGTAGCTCTGCTAGTTTCTCCAATTCCGCCACAAACTCCTTCATGGCCTGCCTGTATTATCCAACAAATTAAAGAGATCAGCATATATAGTTTAAGCCAAAGCTTGGATCGAGTATATAGTTTAGTACCACTATTGCTAACACAACTTCTTCCAGTATATAACAAACGTTAACACACAGGCCAGAATGTTTTTGGCTAGCTGTACTGGAGCTATCGTTCTTGTCACACCATCGATTTTATTTTATAGATCAATATTTAAACAAGCCTTAACTGTGAATATATATTATATATCTATATATATATCCCTGTAGGGAATAGCTAGCTCGCATAATTTGTAGAAAGCAGAATGATATGGCACCACCTAGGTAGCTACTTGTCTGATCTGATGGTACTACCATTTACCTGTATTCGTCGGAAATATCCGGGATCTCGTACAAGTTCGATTCCGGGAGGTGGCGCACGAAGAAGGTGCTCTCCCAATCCATGTCGGTAACCTCCTTTTCGACCCCTTCAAGAGCCTTGTTTGCCACCAATTCGTTGAACAGCTGTTCCATGCACTTACTGTAATGTTCCTTATTCAACCTCTCGACAGTGTCCATCAACTCGTGAGAGATCCCGTGATTCAGCAACTATATATGAAAACCCAAATAAATTATAATCAAGCAGATGGAACATGCAAGAACCCATGCACCCCTTTAATCTTACAGTACAGCCATATGTCTAATAACAACAGCACTTTTTTTCTTTCCCAAGTTTTCGACACAGGACATATAATTAAGTAGCTAGTAGTAAAGGAAGTCGAGTTGTCTTACCTCAAAGAATCCCCAGTTCTCACAGGCATCGTTTATGATCTCCATGGTGGCTGCTCTCTCTTTACCGTTCAGCTTCTCCATGTCAACAACTGGGAAGGGCGCCATTTTCTCTCTAACTAGGAAGCGTCGGTGAGTAAGCGTGTGTGTGACAGTGAGTGTCTCTCGACTACCTCTCGTTCTCAACCTTTCAGTGTATCGATTTCTCTCGATGTGGTGTGGTGTCTTGGGGGATCTCAACGATTGCCTATTTATAGGCTTTTCCGAGCAGTTAGAAGTCGAAAAAAAAAAAGAACGAAAAAATTGACCGTAAAATAAATAAATAAAGAAAGGTGGAGAGGCAAAAGCTAATGGTGGGTTAGGCTTCCGTCTTGTTGACCCTGTCCTGTCTCCTGTCCCTCAAAATCACAGTGTTCCTTTGTAGCGCTAGCCCCAAAAAGCATGGTCATGGTCTAATCCTTGCTGAAACATCGATCTCTCTGAGCCTCTGAGGTGGGATGGGACCCGGTCGCTGGCCGGACACACTACCTGCTTGCTCTCTCCTCTTTTTGACGAGAGACCAAAATGAAGATAGGGTAGGGCTCATGGCTGCTACTTTGTTTTTTTTTGTTTTTCTCATCTTGTATGCATGCGCTCCATTTCTTGGATTTGTTTGTGTATGTTTCAAGTTTGAACACGGCATCAGTGAAGGTGCCTCTCTCCTTCCTCTTCCACTACTATCAATGTAATCCATATTGCTAGGCTGTAAGAACTGCCATCTCTTCTTCCATGCTTGGATCACTTCACCCTAAAATGCAAGAGGAACTCTGAGGAGTGATTATTTGATTGTTGTGGACCATTCTCAGTTTGACCGTCAACCATCCCAATTATAGAAGATTGATTGGATGATTATTAGGTAGTTGGGCTGGGTTACGCTACAGCCAATGTTCTTGGGTTATGGCCATTATTTTAACAGTACCGGTCTGTGTTCATCTAAGGGTCGGCATTCAATGAGCCAGGCCAGTAGAGATTATTATTGGTGTCAGATTGGATTTATGCAGCTGGTTGCTGGTTGTATGAAAGGCTCTTTTTCTTTGGGAGTTAAGATCGTTGATGAGAATGCTTGTCTCCGTCTAAGTGCCTTGTCGGCTATAAATTATATATTAGACATGACGAAGTATATTAAACCCTCGCTATTTCTCACTTTCTTCATCTTCTTTTTCTCTTACCTTTATGCTTCTTCTCAGTGGTGGTGGTGAGAAGTAATATCTGTATTCCGTCCCCTTTCCTTTATCTGTTTTGTAAAACTATGGGCAATCAAATCTAAACATGGGACCTCCTCAATTGTATCCAAATCTTTGACATTTGACTTCTGTGTCATATATATATATATTCTCTTAGTACCCGACCCAAAAAGGTAGCGGTAGGTCGCATACACTAATCTTGGTGGGTTTTGATTAAAAAGTAAGATTAAAATCCATCTTTCTATAGTTCAGTTGTAAATCACCATAACATCTTATCATGGCGTCATCTCTAAATAACAATATATTAACAATACAAATAAACATATATGGTATAGTTCGTACCATATAAATACAAGGATTAAGTAGTAATCAAAGACAAGATGGGGGGTATTCATGATTCATGGTGTACATGTACGGTAATCACGGGCGCGCGAGTCCCTCCTCCCTGAGTTCCATAGCTAGCTTGCTGCTGCAATTATTCATTCAATCAAATGATTGTCCTCCACTACTGCTTACACCAACAGAATGTGATGGGTCGTGAGGTACATTAATTATATATATATATCTTGTTAAGTACTATAGTACCCATTAATCAATCAAGTTGCGTTTGATATTGCCAATTTTGGGTACGTAGGGGTTAACTTAAGCACTCGTTGCTTAGGTTACGTTTGTATGGTTCAATTTTCATTTTTTTCTTATTTTTATCTAAGATAAAATTTTAAAATGGATAAGAACGAGCAAAAATATGTAGAATGAGAAAATATTGTTATGAATCAAATATATTTTTTTTTCTAAAAATGAATTCTTTTTAAATTGACGTGTCCTATGTTGCTTTTTTTCATTCAAAAAAATTATAAACCACTAGCCCAAGTCTGCAACCGTCAATATTTACCAGTTAGCATAGATGTTTTGTCAAAGTACTTTTTTATAAAGTACTTCTATAAAAACTCCTTTATAAAAGTGCTTTTATAAAAGTAATTCTATAAAAGTGTTTTTATAAAAGAACTTTCGTAAAAGTACTTCCATAAAAGTGCTTTCGTAAAAGTACTTCCATAAAAGTGCTTTTATAAAAGTATTTTCGTAAAAGTGTTTTCATAAAAGTAATTTTATAAGTGTTTTCATAAAATGCTTTTGTAAAAGTGCTTTTATAAAAGTAATTCCGTAAAAGTGTTTTTATAGAAGTGCTTTTATAAATGTACTTTTGTAAAAGTACTTCCGTAAATGTACTTTTATAAGTGTTTTCATAAAAGTACTTCTGTAAAAGTGCTTTAGTAAAATACTTTTATAAAAGTACTTTTGCAAAAGTACACCTATGACAACAGTTTTGTAGGCAAAGTGCTTTAGTAAAAGTACTTTCATAAAAGTGTTTTCATGTAAAAGTACTTTTATAAAAATGCTTTTCTAAAAGTGCTTTCGCAAAAGTAAAAATCTATGACAACAGTTTTGTAGGCAAAGTTTCTTCAAATAATGAAAATGAGCAAGATGGGGCATGATGATGCGCAATCCGGTCGGTCCTAGCTGTCGGTTACCTCGCTTCTGACGAGATCGGAGGTGCCTGAAACAAGGAAGAAAATGGAGACTTCCGGGGAGGAACCCGGTTGGAACACTTCGRAGCTCAAGTTAGTGCTCTTTCAGAAGGCAAGGGAAATGAGGAATTCTAAGACCAGAAAACGCAAGAATCACATACCCTCTTCCTTGTGAGATGGGGGCCTTTTATAATCACCCTGTGTGCTCACTTCCATGCCTCGACCAGTTCAGGCATCATTACCTCTGCCAGATCGAGTCACTTCCTTCTGTCAATTGCCAGCTCGGGTGTCATAACCTCCACTGCCAGTTGCCAGGGCCGCCTCTGTCCGTTTGGGAAGGCGGTGGCAAGTGGCCGTTGGATGGCGGTTGTCATGTGTTAGTCCTCTGATCGGTCAGGTGCGTCGCTTCCGTGTATAGTCTCCTGGGCGTCAGGTACGGTTGCTCAGTCAAGCGATTTGGAGCCGAAGTGGTCTTTTACTATGAAGTCTCGAGTTCGGATAGGAGTATGGCCCGAACTGCCCCTAGGTGGGTAGTTCGGGTTTTCTGCCTTTGGTGCTCCTTGTAAGGCTCAGGACCTCGAAGGGAGAGCTCAGGACTCTTTAGTTCGGAGCTCGATTTGCAGGTTCCTTCGAGGGAGCTCAAAGCTCGGGTTGCAGGTTCCTTCGAGGGAGATCGGCTCTCTTTAGCTCGGAGCTCAGGTTGCAGGTTCCTTCGAGGGAGCTCAGCTCTTTAGTTCGGAGCTCGGGTTGTGGGCCGGCTGCCGTGCCGAGCTGGTGTTTCTGCCAGGTCACTCTCAGTTGCTTCCACGTGTTGCATGGCCGAGGGGTCGGGTCAAATCTTCCTCCATCAATTTCCCCCCACTCCCCGTGCTCGGGGTCTTGACCCGACGTTGGGAGTTCACGGGATGACAAGTGGATTTGCCTCGGGACACATTGGCCTTGATCAGGAACTTTTCTGGTTTGGTATGCTTGTGTTCTCGGCTCAAACGGGGTTAGCTTGGTTCGACTAGGGGTCAGTCCCGGGCTGCGTGTGGCTCACGCGCGCCAATGATTTTTTTTTAATTTTTGATCGTGCATGCCAAACAATTTCGAATTTTCGAACGTGCGCGCCAAAGTGTCTTTTCGTCGGGGAGTGCGCAACTGACTTTGCAGGGAGCCGTTGGATGGTTTCGATCTTGGCCGTTGATGCGCGGGTACAATGGCTTTAAATAGTGGGGGGACCCCCAGTCACTTTCCTCTGTTATCCTTCAGCGTTTGTTCCTTGAGCTTGCATCCGAGTCGGCCAGCTCGCGTCACTCGTCCGTAGTTCGGTAGCTTTTCCTGGTGAGTCCTCAGGCTTTGTTTTCGATGTCTAGTTTTAGTAGCATGGATAGCCCTCTAACGGGGTCAGACGCTGGTTCTACGAACCGAGCTGCTGCCCCCGATGGCCTTAGTGAGTCCGAGGCGGGGCCCGAGGTAGAGCTCGAGGAAGAGCTCGAGTTTGAGCCCGTATACCGAGTCACATCGGGTAGTTTGGCATCCACCTCCCGCCGAGGTCGGGTGCCAGATAAGTTTGGACCTTCCACTATGACGCCTGAAAGGCTTTGGTCCCTTATTGTCCAGTACAACTTGCCCGGGGAGTATACTTACTTCGTACCTTCGGGCGACTTTCCTTGGGAACACGGTCCGGATGAGATCGTGATATTCTGACAGCAGCTTGTTGCCGGGCTGCGCCTTCCCTTTCATCCTCTTATCGTTGAAGTCATGAACCACTTCGGCGTTACTATAGGTCAACTCCACCCGAACTTTGTTCGTAACCTTGTTGGGACTATCTCCCTGTGCTGTGAACACTGCCTTCCTTTAGACCTGGAAGTCTTTTCAGCTATCCTCATGCTAAAAAAATAGGCAGGTCCCCTACTTGGGCGTAGGAGGGCGTACTACTTGTCACCTCGCCCGAGCTTCAAGCTTTTACACGACCTTCCAAACAAGTTCCCGACATGGAAGCGAAACTACTTCGTGGTTCAAAGTTCTATGCAGTGGCTGTTTCCTACTGAGTGGGGTTTGGCCGCTCTTGACTCCGGCGTCGTATTAGATGAAGACACGGTGAAGGGCCTCCAGGACTGGACCCCCGGCAAGGGCTCAAATGCAAAGCCTATCTGACGGAGGATAAACTCATTCAAGCCGGTCTGAGTTCGGGTAGGTTTTTTGCTCATAAAGATACTTTTGTTTCTGCTTTTATTCGCATCTTCTGACGCCGAGCTCCATTTTGCAGGTGTTATGGAGGCAGACAAGACTCGAGGTGCAAACTTGTTTGCTGGCATGAAGCGGAAGAAGCGAGCTGCTAAGCGAGTTCGCGCCGATCCTTCCTAGGTGGCGGAGCCCGAGGTACCGAGGACGGAGCCTCCTGGGGAGCCCGAGGTGCCCCCTTCATTTTAGGAGGCGGCAGGGGCTCCCTATGCCGGGGCTCCTTATGATGACTCTGCCTACCCCCGGGCTGCGCCTTTGGGCTCGGGGAGCCACGGTGGGATTGGGAGCGTGC